AAGGCTAGAACAAATTCAGCTACTCAGAATTTTGCATGTTTTCTCTTTCTTTTAAAAGAGAAATTAGGCTTTAATGCATTCTTAAGCAAATGGAATAGATGTCAGTGCCATTTTGATGCAGCCTTATGGTATCAGGATTTTACTGGGTCATTATCAATGATGTGTGGTGTCAAAGATGTAATACCACACATGACATGCACTAGTAAATTCTGTTTTAAAAAAAACCAGACAATGTATTTTTTATGCTCTACTTTCTCTGTTTTCTTAGCTCTGAAGCTGAGGCAAACCCTAGTTTAGTTTCACAGCTTGCCTGTACAAGATGTGATAGATTTTGTGCATGTATTTCTCTGAAACATACGTACAGAAAGGATGCAAAGTTCCTCTAAGAAGGGAGAACTAAGCATTCTCTTTGTGTCTGAAATCTAAAGGTCATCAGATAAAAGGGAGACTTCAGTTATTTTTTTTAGGGTAAGTTTTTGAATACCCTAATGGTTTCAAAACAGAGATGAGATAGACTGATTCTGAATAAGCAGTTTTAAGGCAGTGGTTTATCAGGAGCTTCAGGGAGAGTTCCAGAGTATTAGATGGTGTTGACCTACCTGTAAAGTTTGCTCTAAGAAAGTGAGTTCTTGGTCCTTGGACTTTCCTTCGTGTCCCCTGAATTTTGTCTCCTGTGGGGAAGTAACATAAAATTTAGCAGGAGAAGCTCATCAGACCTTTTCTTATAAGTTGTCGTGTCCCCTGGAAGCTATGCAAGACTGCGTGGGGGCATGAGCTGTATTTGATGACTCAGGCCAGAATATCCTCCTACTTCTTCATCACTGTGTTGCTGCTGGTGACTGAGAGTCTCTCTGAAGACTGGGGAGGCTGTGGGGTGTCTGTGGTTGTACCAGTCTTTTGGGAGCTGGATTTTAGAACTCAGTGGTGAAGTCAGGGATAGTTTTCCTGGACATGGCAGTGCCAGTTGTGACAGAGCATTGGCTTCACGAGAAGTTCTATTTTTTCACTTTAGTTTGTAAAAATAGGTATCAGACTCCTACACCTGCAGAGAATTGCAAACTGCAGTGCAGGAACCAAGGGCAGATTGGAGAATGCTGGTAGATAGTACGTGATGATTGTTGGAGAGGTCGTGATAGAGGTTGTTATTATCACATCGGAAAAGGGAACAAAGAACATAAGTACTGACAAATTCTGGAGATATTGCTGTTAGTAAAGTGGTTTTTTGTTTGTTTTTTTAGTTCCAGCAGTATGTTTTTGCCAGCAGTAGCGAAGAACTGGAAGACTGGTTGATTAACATACTAAAATGGAGTATCTACCAGTGCAGGTAAGTCATTCTTTCTTTGTCTTTTTTGCAGTTTTGTTTCTTTGCATTGTCTCGCAGTTCCCAGTGCAAGTAGTTAGATTAATGGCACTGTAACACAAACCTTTCTCTGAAAACAAAGATGGTTTGGGAGGTTTTTGTCTTTTCACTGTACTCACAGGTGCTCTGATGCAGCTGCTGTAAAGTAGCATTTAAAAGATCAATTTAGAAAAAAAATAGAATCGAGAAACATTTCTTCCTTCAGATGGCCCTTTAAAATCTGATATCCTGTGACCCATTTTGTATTGTGGCCTCAGGAGAAATTAGTTTGGGTAACTGGAGAAGTGGTGAGCTAATGTGGCAACAGCATGGACTGGCCAAGATATGTAGGAGATTTTCCAACTTAGGAAAATAAATAAACCCCCAGAAGTGTGAAGGAAAGGAAAGTTTTGGCCCTCAGTGTAGGATCAAGTGGCTTTATCTGACGTTTTAACTATTGGACATGTTCAGTCTGAGTGCTCTAAATACTTTTGAATAATGAAATGCTCTTTTGATTATAAATGTTAAGTAGCTACCAGAAGTTTAGGAACCCTCTGTTCTGACTTGTATGTTAGGGTATTCTCATTCCAATATGTGTTTATATGCTGCATTGAACTCTGTCTCTTATATGCAGAGAGCTCCTACTGAAGGATTCTTTTGCTTCTTACAGGCAGACAGAACAAACGTGCAATTTGGTTTCTGAATGCTAATTATAGGCTTTAAAATACCACAGTAAACTCATTAAGTATTAAAATCAGCTGGGGACATTTGGTGTCATTGAAGTTCGTGAAGTTTAGCTGTAAATTTGAAAGGAATCTATACGAATAAATACTTCTATATGAGTTTAACTTTTTTTGCTGGTTTTTGCATGATTACCATTACAAAATTTAAGACATTGTCCAAGCTGAGTGTCTCCTTTAAAATATTTAATCACTGCATGACACTTTGTGTTACTTAGTTCAAAGAACACTGTTTTCCTTTGCGCTGATATGAAAGGCTTTGACAGAAAGGTAGTGATGTGGTTTATGTCAGCCCAGGGCAGTGAATGTTCCCCTTCACCCAGGTTAAGGTGCACGTGGAACAAGCTGATGCTCAACAAAGAGAGAGCCATTTGCAGTGGTCTGCTGATGGACTGCAGTCCTGGGTACAGCATGCAGCAGTGCTTGCTGGATGTGCTGTTCTGTCAACTGTGCCTCAGCATTTCTCACTGGTTCTGCAGCTAGCACTGGGGCAAGGCACAGATGCTGCTTTTCCAAGGACTGTTAGTAGTTGAGCAAGGGCTGTGTTATTGGATTGAAATATATGGTGCTGTGTCATGCAGGCCTGTGTGTGCTGGACCCTGTGCATGGGGAAGTTGCCTGCCCTGGTGATTTTTAGTGGGCTGGCTGAGGGGCTAAGTAAGCACAATAGAGGAGGGAAGGGAGGGAGTGGTCCCAGCTAGAGCCATGTTAGACACAATAGAAATACCACAAGTTCACTGGACAGCCCTTCTGGCAGTAATGCAACATGTAGTTCTCTTAGGGGTTTTTTGTTGAATTAACTCATTCATAAAATGGACCTTGGAACTTGTCTAATTGGACTAGTTCTGGTTATTCTGGGTTTTCCTGCTGGGGACTTGAGGGACCCTGAAGCATTTGATAGTGACTGCTTGGCTCAACAACTCCTGCAGGAACAGTCTTCCCTTCTCTTGGGGGACACAAACTGTTCAGGGACATAGACAGCACCACTCATTGTGCTTTAAAGTCAGAGTCCTATGGTATCTTCCTCCCTTGAGAATGTAGTTTCATCAAAAAACAAGCTGGATGAGAGTGTCCCACGGCATCCTTTGTTTAAGTGCTTTCACTTTTCTCTTAGTGTGTTCAAGGGGGCTCCTTTCTGAGGTATTGCACAGTTTCATCACCAGCTTCATGCACAGCCCAGAGGGTTTGTTGTCCAACAGCCAAGAGTCACAGCAGGGCTGGGACCTCTTTATCTCTGCTCTGTGGCAGGTCAGGTTCCACTTGCAAAAGATACACTTGCATTTTGGTAGGTGATGCCCCTGTGATAATGCAGCATGGCAACCCCAGAGAATTAGAGTGCAGAACATCCTGGTTCTAGCTTTAAAGACCACTGAGGACATCCCTACACTATCCTATAGGCAAAGCACTGGAAGAGGAATTGCTGCAAAGCTCTATAGGTTTATCAGTGTCAGTTCTAACTGCAAACTGTACCAAAACTTGTGGCATCATTCAGTTAATCTCTTGAAGTCCTTTGACTGAAATTGGAATGATCACAGGATTTTTAGACAAACTGGGTTAATAGCATCATCTCGATAGTGTAGTTTTGATCTTGCAGTAAGAGCCCTTGATCAGACTTCTTCATGTTGTCCTAACTCAGCTTAAGCAGCAAAATTCCTCTTCCCCTGTCACTTCAGTAATACAGTATTTCTGTGTTTTTTCTTAAGTGCTCACAGAGTCCCTGTATTGGCTGTAAAACCAAGGTCAGAGTTAACTTCTTGTTTATAGTTTAAATCTAGACCTGTGCTGTGGTGCTTGAAGCCTTTCAGCTCCTTTAGAGTGAGTAGAGAAAGGTAAATTTTTTTAGTCATATGCTAAGATAATTTAGTTGGTAGGCTAGAGGTTGCCCCTGAAGGTAGCTTTGCTTTCAGGTGACTGATACCTGCTGTGCTGATGACGTTTTTGCCAGTTACTCTGTTTCAGTCTCACTAGTAGTGCCTGCTGCTCAACCAGCACCCAAATAAATACACCTTCAGAGTTTTAGAACAAAAAACCCACAGTACATTCAAGCCTCAGACAGGTGAGGTTTTTTTGATGTTTACGGCTTCTGCATTAGACCCAGAAAAATGGACTAATGTGCATGAAGAATATCCTGGTTTAGGTTTTTTTTCTTTTGCTTAGTCCTCAAACCCCAGACAGTGCTTGCAGGAACTGGGAAGTTTGAAGACAAGTGTTTGTAGAAAGTGTAGTCTGTTTTATTAATCAACTTGATAGTGTTGAAGGAAAAACAGCAGAACTTGGTAAAATCTGTAGGATTTTAATTTAGGTATCAGCAGGCAGTTGTAAATTAGCAGAAACTTGCCAGCCTGTGGCTGTGAAGATGACAGTGAGAATTAACACTTTACTGCTAACAAAAATTTGACTCAAGACAGGCATGTTGCCCTCCTTACCTCCTGTCTTCCCTCTAGAATCTCTCCATCTAAAGCCCTACATGACCTACACTGTAATTCAGTTTTCCCTGTCCTCATGCCAGAGTTGAGGCACTGCTGCCTGCATGGTCATTCTGCATCAACAAGGGCTGGAAGCAAACCATACTCTTTTTCTCCTCCTTGTCTGCAGGGTTTTTCCCTCTCCAGCAGTACCAGAGCAGAGCTGCAGTGTGTAGGTATCAATAAGTGCCAGGATTGTATTATGCTGACAATGTGTTGTGATGCCTCTCTGATAACATTTGATTCCTTCACAACAAAGGTGGAAATTAGTCTGGGCTGGATTTGGCACATCCTATATTCTTGTTTATCTCAGGGCCTGCATTTAAGGAAGCTGTGCAAAATTGTGTATAAGCGTTGTCCTTTTTAGGACCATGTTTGTGTCCTAAATAGTTTGTTTTTCTGTTTGTTTTCAGTAACTAAGGTGCTGACAAGTTTTGAATTCTCATCCTCATAAACATGAGTGAAGTTCAGGCTATGGTAGAATTCTCCGTGGAGCTCCACAAATTCTTCAATGTTGATTTGTTTCAAAGAGGGTAAGTGGTCTGTTCTTTCAGACTTTACTGTGGTGGATGGCTGATGTTGGAAAGACCTTAATGGGTACTGTCATGTAGTGTTGCTCCATCTATTACTGACTGTTTTGATAGTGATTTGAAAATCTTTTATGCCTTATTGCAAAGTCATATTCTTTCTAGGAATTCAATTAAATATGCAAATAATTTGGCTTAAAACTCATGTTGTAATGCAATATTGTTGTCTAATTGGAGAAGAGGGAAAATCTGTACATGTGGAGGGTACATTATTTTCTTACCCAGGCCTTTGTATCTAAATTTCTGTAATCCCTTTTGTTTGGGATATGATAGGTATTTCTCTTTGACCTTTTAAAAATATTGTTGCCTCAATTAACTTACTCATTTATCAGTTTGGCAGTGGAGAATGTCTCTAGCTTCTCTCCTCACACTGTGCTGTGTCTCCACAGTTACACAGGACTCACTACTGCCTCATTAGACTCTCCTGACCTCCTCTTACTCTCTTTCATATTGCTTTCATTTGATATTACCTGATTGTCCCAGATTGCTTTTAAGGCCCTTGTTTTCCCATGACTATGAAGGAAAATAATCCTTTGTAGCTTATTTTTAAGTGAGTAAAGATTATTGGTCATTTAGTGTTGTTGCACATTGTCCTCTCGTCAGTCTTCCAACAGACTACAGTAAAAACACACGTTGGTGTTGTAGTTCTTAGGATATTTGTTTTAGATAAATCTGGTTGAGGCTCTGTCAGTGTTTGCAGAGAGGGAACAATATATATCAATCTTGGTTTATGGTATCTCCTTTTTTCCAAAACATTGTAGAATAAAGTTCCTTAGAAACATTTTAGCAGTAAGAAAATAGTCTTGTTTTCAGCCTTGTCATAATTCAAGGCAGGTATGTGTGTGTGTGTGTGTGTTGCATTTGGTAGAGTTTTGGGGGGTTTTTGTTTTTTTTTTTTTTGTTTGTTTGTTTGTTTGTTTTTTGTTTTTGTTTTTTTTTTTGGTTGGTTTTTTTTTTTTAAATTTTTTTTTTTTCTTTGACGGAGTGAGGTGGTGAAGGTAAAGTAACAGGAAAATTTCATTTCTTTGGGATGCACATAGTTCTTCCACTTTGTATTAACCCTCTGAGGTGGATATTTTGGGTAAGAGTGATCTAAGAAAAGGCAGGATTGGAAAGGAGCTCAGGAGATAGAGGCATAAAATAGTTCTAAAACATATCTTGGCTAGCTATCCTCTATCTTTGCCATGTTACTGTTAGTGTTTGTTTATATTTTATTAAAGCTATTTTTTCTCGAAATTTGACCTAAAACTGGTGCTGACAGAAGTGATGACCCATGATGCTTGCTACTATTTGCAGTCAAAATACATGCAACAAACTGTCTATGTCCCCTTTTTAGGGAAAATTGTAATTTCACTCTTCATTGGAAGACGAGGATTAAGGAAGGCTTAAGAAGTCTGGGAAAACACTGAGAATATTCTAATTACTTCAACAAAAAAGCACAGTCTGTTGAGCTGTAGCCTTTTTAATCTCTGAAATCAGTGGGGAAGGAGAGGGTAGAACATGGCAGCATGTTTACTCTAATAGAAAAGAACCTGAAGAAAGTGTTTTGGTTGTCTTAACTGCACAGTTCAAATGATTCCTCAGAAAGGTAGTTGAGAAGCAAAGCACAGCAATATAATTGCCAGTGCTTTACTTAGCATGTTTCTTTTTAGCTTACTCTTTAAAAATCAGTGAATTCACAGGGCGGGTTCAGAGAGGTGGAATGCTGACATAATGAGAAAAGTGACATGAGGAGGTATTACCTCTCTGGTTTCAAGTTGTACCCTTAACTCTGGGCACATTCCCTTAGAAATTAATGACTGGAAGAGGAAAGAGCTTCCAGAATAATTTGAAAGACTGAGAAATGTGACTATTGCAATAAATTCAATTTGGGTAAGTTCTAGTATTTTTCTAGGGAACCGTCTTTGTATTTATTTGAAGCAGGATGTAATACTTGTATTGCTAGAGGAGCTCTTGGATAATGGACTGCATGAGCAAAAAAGGAAATCTTTAGTTTCATTGTTAGCCTCCTATTTTTGAGCTACTGCTGTGTTAAGTATGGTTTTTCTCACCAGAAACCAAGTGCAGAATTGATTGTGTTCTGTGTTTGTTTTGGATTGTGTGCACTCAAGCCTGCCCAGCTCAACATGCCTGTGTCAGGGTGTTAGAAGCATCATGACCTTCTGAATTTGTAGAATGAAATGTCAGCTGTTGCAAGGAATCACATCAGGCTGATCAAACTTTGTCAAACTTCTGCCATGTGCTTAAAATGCAGCTTGCTCCAGGCAGCTCCATTGGTCTGTTTTTATCTGTTGTTGCATTCAAATAAGGCTTCACATAGTTTTTCTTTTGAAAGAGTGGGATGTGATGGTAGGAATTTTTGCCCAAACAGCGATTGATGTGTGAGTATGGTGTGACAAAATGAATAAAAGAAATTTAATTGTTTGGGACTTGTGAGAGTGGTGGTCTGAGGTAGTGAGGCTTCAGGCTCTTTTGTCCTCTTAGCTCACAAAAGCTCCAGATAGGTTCGGGCTCTATAGTACTGAGTTTTTATAAATATAAATGAAACACAGCATAGCTTGACTGCAGAAGTGGAGAATGAGTTGAGAGCAAAACTGGTTGTATGATTGGACTCGGAGTTGTGGTCAGTGGGGCAAAGTCCAGCTTGCAGCTGATGACCAGTGGCATCTCTCATGGATTGGTACTGGATCAGTCATCTCAGCAAGTTTTTCACAGAATCATAGAATGGTTTGGTTTGGAAGGGACCTTAAGGATCATCAAATTCCAACCCCCTTGCCATGGGCAGGGACACCTTCCACTAGACCAGTTTGTTCAGGGCTCCATCCAACCTGGCCTGGAACACTCCCAGGGGTGGGGCATCCACAGCTTCTCTGGGCAACCTGTTCAGTGCCTCACCACCCTCTGAGTAAGAGAATTTCTTCCTATTGTCTAATCTAACCCTACCCTCCTTCAGCTTAAAGGTGTTGTTACTGTAAGAGCAAGTTGTGACTCAGTTTTCTGCTGTGGACTGTGGGTGCTTACCCTCTGCACTTACATAGGTGTTTTGTATGTATCAGCATCCTGAATTGAGATCTAAGTGTGTTGTGCATTGCTGATTTCAACCAACTGGTTATTGGAAGTGCCACAGTACTTGGTAGTGTTCAGTTGAAGTTGCAGTGTTCACCATGGGATGATGGATCCTGATGTCTAACTTGGAATAGTTAGACCTGGTAGGGAGAAAAGTTTCCCTGTAACCCTCAGTTGTGAGAAGATGAGGTTTGCATTTCCCCAGAGCTGTGTATTGCTTTTTCACCTAGGAAATGGCAAATCTGATGAGCTAAGGAAACTTAACTTGTAGTTTGTAGTTCAGCATAGTGCACACGTTGCTGCAAGATCTGCTTTGAAAAGAGCTTTAATCTACAGTTTCCCTATGTCTGTGCATTCTTATAATCACAATGTTAAATTCTTACTTCGTCACTAATCTTGTGCTACTCTGTCAGTAATATGCATGCATGCACAACTGGCCAAAGCTGGATTTAGAACACTTTCAGTGATAATCTCTGTCAGTGTTTTGTCTATTTTTTTTGGTAGCATTTGTCTTTGTAAGGTTAGTATACCTGCTGTTCCACTGTGACTTTCAGAAGAAGAATTTCCTAACGGTTCTTTCAGCTAAGTGTAAATTTATTGTTAGCTGAAGTAGACTGTGAGGAGAGCAAGTAAAATAAAGTATTAACAGTAGCTCTTTGCTACAGATTTACATTTGTGCCCAGTGTGTCTTAGTTATCTATTACTTTATTTTGGGTTAAAAGATTCTTATAAAACCACATCAAGAGTTTGCCTTAGTAATATGAAGTCCACCACGTTGGGGTTTTTTAAGTGTTTTTGCTTTTAAATGCTGTTTAACAGATGGAAGAATAATACTAAATGCCTTTTACAGAAAAGCCTTTGGCAGATTCTAACAGAGAGCACATTTTTGGAGATGTATCATATCTGAAGTGAGGTTATTGGTAAGATTGCAGTAGCATAAGTTGCTTATTGAAAGTCAAAGGAATTTTAAGCTTCAGAGACTACTGAATATTTAGCCTTATGGTATTCTTCTGTTCCACATATTTCTGTGCAGATATTTACTGATGTGTTTGAGCAGCATTGACATTTTATGCTTCCATGTGTGTGGTTGTGTAATGTAGCATAAAAGAAGATGCACTTAATTAGAGTATGAAATTTAATGGATCTTATTATGATTACACAGTAATTTAGTAATGAATAACATAATATGTGAAAAGTTGTAGGTTTTCCTGGATCCAGTGAGTTGTCTACATTAGCTTCATAATTTTTAACGGGAAATTAAATTGGAAATGGACACTTCTAGTAGGACCACTTTTCCTTCTCTTGGCCACATCAGGAATGAAAAGGTTTTGTCCTTAAATAAAGACTTACCCCTTGCTAATGGTTTGTGTGAGGAGCAGCTGAGGTCATTTGGTCTGTTCAGCTCGAGAAGAGGAGACTGAGGACAGAGCTCATCACTGGATACAACTTCCTCACGCAAGGAAGTGGAGAGGCAGCTCTGACCTCTTCTCTCTGGCAACCAGGGACAGGACCCAGGGAATGGGCTGAAGTTGTGTCAGGGCAGGTTTAGGTTGGATATTAGAAAATGATTCTTCCCCCACAGGTGTTTGGGTACTGGAGCAGCTCCTCAGGGCAGCGATCACAGCACCAACCCTGGCAGAGCTCAAGGAGCATTTGGCCAATGCTCTCAGGCACAGGGTGTGATTGTCAAGGATGTCTTGTGCAGGGCCTGGAGTTGGACTGGATGATACCTGTGGGTCCCTTCCAACTCTGAGTATTCTGTGATTCTGTGTTGCTAGCAAACAATCAAGTAACGAACTCTTGATGGACCAAAAACATTTCAGGCTCATCTGTTTGGTTTTCTTTTTAATTCATACAGCTCATACTTTTACTTTCAGACT